AGCAAGTCGGGAAATTGGTGTTGCACCACTGTCCACCGACCGTCTCACGGAAACAGGACCAAAGGAACTAGGCTGTGGGGCAAGAGAAGAAGATGTGGTCCATTACGCTTAAGGACCTCAACCCCAGAAGGGAGGCGGCTCCGGATCCATTGCCATATGAAGATCCTGATCTTCAGAGGTAGCCGAATGTCCCAAATCAGGCTAAAGGGCTCGGGGGCCGACGAGGGGGCGATGGCCGAGTAAAGGGACATGTGAGGGACAATGCCGCGAATATGGCCAGCAGCTTTGGCCTTATCTTGTTTTACACAGATGCAAAGTGGGGTGTTTGATTACATGCAACACATGTCGTCTGGTAACCTCTTGTTAGAATGGTGCGGTTACCAGCACACTCACATGCACATCATAAACGATAAAGTAGAGTCTTAACGCACACTCAGAAGCAGTTAAATGATAAACAGTCTCGAAATAGGCTTTCGCCCCGCTTTATAAATAAAGCAAGAACCAAATAGAACTATACACAATGGTGAAGCAGCCCACTTACAAAGCCGATCCAGAGGTACCCATCACACGTAGAACACACGCAACTACGCTACTGACAACACGCACCGGTCGAGCTAAACATCAACCTGGCACCCCTAGTGAGGGAGTAATGGACTAAGGCAATAACCGAACAGCGTACACGGCTAAACGATACACAATGGTGAGGCAGCCCACTTACAAGCCGATCCTAAGGTACCCAGCACATGTAGAACACACACGACTACGCTACTGACAACACGCGCCGGGCGAGCTAAATATACCCACGCTACAACCTGGCACACCTAGGCTCCAAGGCAACACCCTCAAGAGGGAAAACGGCATAGAGCGCCGAGAAGAGAAGAACCACAACGACATCTTCAGGAAGAACACGGCACCCACGGGTGTCGCCATCATTAGCGCCAAGGCACGGAGCTTTCGCTCGGTGATGTCTACCACACAACTTATTCTTGTAGACTCGTGTTGGGCCTCCAAGAGCAGAGTTTTGTAGGACAACAACAAATTTCTCTCAAGTGGATGAACTAAGGTTTATCAATCCGTGGGAGGCGTAGAATGAAGATGGTCTCTCTTAAACAACCCTGCAATCAAAGACAAGAAATCTCTTGTGTCTCCAACACACCAAATATAATGATAAATTGTATAGGTGCACTAGTTCGGCAAAGAGATGGTGATACAAGTGTAGTATGGATAGTAGATATGGATTTTTGTAATTTGAAAATTTAAAAACAACAAGGTAGCAAGTGATAAAATGGAACACAAACAATATTGCAATGCTTAGAAACAAGGCCTAGGATCATACTTTCACTAGTGCAATCTCTCAACAGTGCTAGCATAACTGAATCATATAACAATCCCTCAACGTGTGACAAAGAATCACTCCAAAGTTCTTATCTAGCGGAGAACATAAGATAAAATTGTTGTAGGGTACGAAACCACCTCAAAGTTATCTTTTCCAATCAATCTATTGAGCCATCCCTCTAAGTGTCACAAACAACCCTAGAGTTCATACTAAAATAACACCATATGATACACATCAACCAACTCTAACGTTACCTAGATACTCCAATGTCATCACAAGTA